TTCTAAAAAAAGGATACCATTGGGAAGAGAGAGTGGGACAGACTATCCAAGGATCTGTGGGTGCTCCTGCAATGGACCCAGGGGTCATTTCCTGTGGGAAACTGCCTTCTGACACACTTCCGGTGATGTCAGGGGGTGTGGCATATGCAAATAAGTTATGCTAATAAGTTATGCTAATGAGCTCCTGCACCTCTTCTTCTATGAAATGACCCCTGAATGGACCCATCTTTGCAAAGCGGACACTTGTGAAAAGACTCGGGGGAGGACATGGGAAAGTAAGAGATTTGGGAGGGCTAAGAAAGTTGCACGTAGACATCATCATACCCTTCCCAAGGTCCTAAATTTTCCTTTCGTGGCTGGCTAGTGCTGCCATGTAATGGAATCTGATGTCGACGCCCCTCGGTTTGTCCAGGACTTTCACTCCGCTTTTCCGGGGAAGGGGGGGGGCAGGACGTCAGCTAGTGCTGCCATGTAATGGAATCTGGAGGGGGTGCTTGGCTTCCTCGTCTCTGCTGTCTATGTCATCTGCCTAGTGGCCTTGAAGGGCTGCCTCTGTCTAGTGTGCTTATCCCGCTGGGAACAGAACTGCTGCTTTTCGCCCACGCTTACAGGTGCTTGCTTATTGGGCTCAACACGTCAGGGGGTCTGGTTTGAAGGGGGTATAACTGTAACCACCATTTTGATGTCCCCAGTACTAACCTCAATAAACAGAAACCTACGCAGGAACGTTGTTGAGTGTTTGATTGGGAAGCCTGACCATTGTTTGGTTTGTTTCTTTGATGACATGAGTAAGCCACATGCCCGTTTACAGACAAAAACAAATGGTAAAAACGTGCACTTCCATTAGGAAAAAGTTAATGGAAGGAAACAGGAAATGGCACGAAAATAAAGACTTGGAGGTTTGATTCGCACAAAGCAGAAATGATATGGAAGCTGGGATTTTCAAGGCAAAATGGCGAGGCTGCAACACTCAAAGGCACGCTGACCAAGAATACAGTTCTTGTCTCAGACGCCTCAGAATTTAATTCATAAAACCCGAATGTTGGGAAGGGGGAACGAGTCACATGCCGTTCTTTTGCCATTCTCACCAGATATTCTTTGAAGCATTTGCCCTATTCGGAGAGAGCAGCAAACACCTGATGTATTGTGCATCCACATCAAAAACTAAAAGGTGCCACCGGATCAAAAGGGATATGAATGATACATCGTTTGATACTGGAAAGATAAGACGAATGTTATTTTCAAGGCTAAAAAAGAGATTAGCCGCCATGGGGATCAGAGCTTACAGGAAATCATATTTGGAGGGAGAGAGAGACAGAGAAGGAGAGACAGAATATTTAACACAGTATGACAAAGGCCCAGTCTGAGGCAGATCTGCTGTTGTGTGTTTTGATTATGCCAAAGTCAGTATTTCCCAAGAAGAATGATAGTGAGCCTTCAAACTGCTGGCATTTTATGAGAAATGAACCAGTAAGAGAATTAAAGGCTCCTTGGAGAGCAAAGTACCCAACTCACAGAGGAGGCTGCCTGCTGCATCTCTTCACGATTCACGTAAACCAACGGTCCCTGCTCAGCAGGGGCAGTCTGGGTTTTCTAGCCCCCATTCCCAGTAAATCGACAAAGACTTAAGACGTTTTTTTATTACAGCATAAGCTTCCACAGGCTAGAGCCCAATTTGTCAAATCGAATTTGGCACAAGCGAACAGAAGAATGATACGAAAATGCAGACTCCCACGTTCATTTCCAACAAGGGGAAAGTGAAATGGGAATTCCCAGTCATACGCAGAAGGGATGAGAAATTCAAAACCTTTCGTAATTTTTGTCTTTGGGGGCTGCCTTGTTCAAGTGTTGCTAGCGGGGTCGGCCACCAGCTTGCCGATCGGTGCGGTTCTGCTTTTCCACCTCCCAAGACTCGAAAAGTTAAACCTCTGGATGGAGAATGGATGTGTATCATGTAACCACCTCCTATGTCACGCAGCCATATGTGCCTAAACGCTAGAATGCCACGCAGTGGGATTTCTGTGGCGGTCTGGGACCAGGGAGCACTACTCGAAAAGTTAAACCTCTGGATGGAGAATGGATGTGTATCATCTAACCACCTCCTATGTCACGCAGCCATATGTGCCTAAACGCTAGAATGCCACGCAGTGGGATTTCTGTGGCGGTCTGGGACCAGGGAGCACTCCTAATATGGCTTCCCAGTGAGATGCTGGCATGGAGGGCACAGTCATTCGGTGCCTTTCCCGAAAGACCTTTCTAGATTCAGGGCTGTTTTGGGTGTTTGGGTCTAGAAGACGGACGGTTTCATGTCACTGCGAGGCTGCCACTCCTTGCAAAGGAGCTGGCTGTGGAAATGGCCGCTCAGGTACCAGAGGGGCTGAGGCAGTGGGCCTTCGTTTCCCCCCAATTTATCAAGTTTTGGAGCCAAGACAAGCCCATTGAATTCTCTTAGAATAGGATTGCCAGCCTCCAAGTCAGGCTAGGAGATCTCCTGGTGTTAAATACTGGGTTCCATACATGGTCTGACCCCAAGCACAGTAATCAGCAATGCTTTATTAGTGATTCAGCAAGAACAAGACAAAGACAAAGACAATAATGTCTCCAGTCTAAACCACAATCCTCCGTCATAGAATCATGGAATCACAGAGTTGGAAGGGACCTCCAGGGTCATCTAGTCCAATCCCCTGCACAATGCAGGAA